CTCTGACCATGAAATCTGATGTTTCAGAAGATGAGGACATCCTGAGATTGCTGCAACGGATGGACCAGGGTTCGTTAAACTGTCTACTCGGTAAAACAGCCTGCAGTCATCGTTGGCTTGAGAAAGGTAGCGACAAACTTCTTCAACTCCAGGTGTCCGTTGTCAACTCTTTCATTGTGACATTGTACTTTTACACAGGCTACAGCAAGATACTTGCCTGTCACAGAGAAGATAGTTCCATCTCCCAGCTAGGTTGTAAAGGAACTTGGGGAGTTACTGATCAAGGATCAATCAAGGAAAGATTAAGGCTACTGATCCTGTGAGCAAAGTAACGGATACGAAATTTTCCATGTTTCTTACATAACTCCATTTGTGAGAAGAAGTGAATACAGATGCCCAGCACGCTGGATGCTTGGAACTCAGGTGTGGTTTTGTGGACAGAACGTCAGATTTTGTACAAATGCTGCACAATCGTGCTGTGTAAGACTACCAGGCTCTCGTAGTTGGAGAAAAAAACAGTTTGAAATAAATGCAATGCTTGAGCTGCTAGAAAAGCCAGGCAAAAATGCAACGTATACACATTTCTCTCCTACACATAGGATTTAATTTTTTTACTATGGAAGGAAAGTAGTTTGCTTTGGCATGATTTGTTCTTTAAAACTCCATGTAGACTATTACTTAGTCTGTCTTCTAAGTATTTGCGAGTGGTTTTGTTTTGTGTTTTTTCCCCAAGAGCTGAGGTTAGTGTCTGGAGTTGTTAGTTCCTTCTCACATTATTTCTAGGTGTAAGCTTTATGGATAGCCGCGTCTGGAGTGCCACCTTACAAAATTTAGTGTGTTCAGAGATGAACACAGAAGCTCTGAGATTGCCTAAGGTTTATTTAAGATCTAAGTACTCTGATGAATTTCCTCATACCCCGGCTACTCGAAACCTCCATCTATGTTGTCTTCAGTCTGTTTTCTCTTTTCTAATCAGAGTTTTCACCCCAGGGCTGTAGATTCCATGTCCTGGACAGCTAATGTTTTTTAATACTAGACCACCATTGGATATTTTTCATAAAGCCTAACCCAGAGAGCACGAACCAGAGTTCCCGGGCTGCATCCCGACCAGCACTGCTGCCTGCGGCTGGGCTTTGCGGGAGGGATGGAGCCTGCTGCCTCCCAGGACGCCTGTTCGTTGGGCATGTGGCACAGGAGCTGTGTCTTATTTCCCATGCCAGGTCAGGAATGACTAGGGCTGGTCTCATGTATTTCCTGGACAAGTGCACTAGCAGTTAGACACGTACCTCTGCTGTGTTTTCAGCAGGCTCAGTGCTGTCTCAGGTGACTCTTTGATTCATTCTGGATCTGGAAGAGTTTAGATACCTCTCCTCCTGAGTGCCCATTGTATGGATTAGGGAGAGGGAAGTGCTACTTCTCACTGGCTGAGCGTGTGATAGGCACCTAGACCTGAGGTACAGCAGTTATTAAAAACTTCTGGTGCCCACATCTATAACACTGAGCACTCTCACCCTCCAGAACAGTGCAGCTGCATACAAACCATCTGCTGCAGATAGTTCTCGGCTTAGGGTAAATCCCAAACCATGCTGAGAATTGCTTGAGAAAGCTAGTTAGTCTGGGCTAAAAATAAGGCAGGGGCCATACTAAATCTCTAACAATATGGGTGATCAAATTCCTCTGCCTCTGCCTGGTGCTTTGTATTCCACCGGTGTAGGCGTCCCCTTGGCAAACTTTCAGGCTGAGCATCAGGTGCCTTTTGAGTTTAAGAACCTGGAAGATTTAGATGTTGGTGGAGAATCAGCAGCCTGATATTTTTTTTTTTTTTTCTGGGCTTGTTTAACTTTGAGAAGACTTGTTGGGGGTCTTTTTGTGATTTAATCTGTGATGGTTGCAAGTAAGACGATGGAGTCAGACTCTCTTCAGTGGTGCCATGACAGAACAAGAGGCAACGGGCAGTAGCTCACTTCCATTCAAACAAAAGAAAAAAACTTTCTTATGATGTAAGTGCTCAAACCCTAGAACAGGTCACCCCAGCAGATTGTGGAGTCTTCATCCTTGGAGGTATCCAAAACTCAGCTGGACAATGTGTCCTGAGCAACCCACTGTAGTTGACATTGCTTTGAGCAGGGGTTTTGGATGAGACCATCTCAAAAGTTCCTTTCCAGCCACGACAACTCTGTGACTCTGAGTTACAATAAAAAATTAAAGAGACTCTCGGAAGCAATAGAACAAATAAGAGAACATTGAATTGTCATACAAAATAGGCACAGTTTCCAAAAGACCTCGTGACTAGCGATGTTTGAAAGTGAGCAGCATGAGGGATGTGTCTCCTCTAAGTTCTCTGCAGTGTTGTCTTTGCTTCTGAGGACTCGAGTACTTTAGGTCATGAGGGTGATTTTAGGCTTTGGACAAGATTTCTGAAGAAAGAGATTAAGGACAAGGTTGTGTTTTCATAGGCAGAGTCCTACTTTGCAGCAGAACAAAGGTTCATGTGCTTTGACTGGAGCCCCAAGAGCCCCAGAGGTGAAACACATCACCTGCACTTGTCCCCATGGCTGATTGTACCAGGATGCAGGGAGAGACCATGGACCTCGGCTTTGGGGGACCAGTAGGTCCGATCGGTGTTACCTACGCTGAGGCTGTTCAGGTCACCCCAAGATGGAAAGAGCGGTGATGAGATGAGATGAGATGAGATGAGATGAGATGAGATGAGATGAGATGAGATGAGATGAGATGAGATGAGATGAGATGAGATGAGATGAGATGAGATGAGATGAGATGAGATGAGATGAGATGAGATACCTACCGGTATACTCGGCTGTATCAGCATGTCCATCCCAGCTCCTCACCCACACCAGCCCCATTCCTCGATGGGAGAGCAGAGCCCTGCGCTGTCAGCTCCTCCCGCTGCCTGGGGGGAAGAGGAGGGTTTCTGACCCTGCTGCAACAAATTGTGTTTCTGCACTTCAGTTTCTGGGTTGATTTATTTTTATTTTTCACACTGTTTGTTTTATCTCCCAAGATATTTTGTTTCTTCTTGCCTGGGACTTGTCTTACCAAGCAGTTTTTGCACAGGCAATTTCCCCATCATGAGGAGACTGCTGAAGAGTCCGTCAGATCACCCAGGAGGACGCAGAAGACCGGCTTGTAGGCATGTCTTTCAAGCAAGGCTCATTTACCTTGAGCAAGCCCACCCACCATGTGGGTTTTGCCCAAAGAAGAGAAGTGCCATCTGCAGTTCAGGCCTAAATCCAGTCGGGGTTGGCTCCAGATCTCCACAGCAGAATAAAACTGAAAGCCTAGCAGTGTCTGTCCCATTCGTCCTGGATCTGTCACTCTCCACCCTGTCTCCAGGAGCACTGATGGGTACCGAGCTCGTCCATCTGACTGCTGGTTTTCTACCAAATAGTTTCTGAAAATGGTTGTGAAAGTGTCTTCTCAAACCAGGATCCCAATCTGAGGTCCTTCTGAAAATGTTGTGGTAAAAATCTCTGCAATCTTGAGGTCAGCTGAAAACAAAAAGACAGAAGGAGAGCACAGAAGTGCTCTGCTGTGTCAGAAGACAACCCACGTCTCAAGTACACGGTCAGAGGCAGAGGCACCGTGGCCTTCATCATCTGCGCTACCCGTATGAACACACCCTCTCTGCACGGGGCCCAAGACCCCCAGAATAAGGAAATCTAACCTGGGGACTGGAGCATCTCTGCTGTGGGGAAAGGCTGAGGGAGCTGGGATGGCTCAGCCTGGAGCAGAGCAGCTCAGGGGGGTGGAATCCATGTCTACAAATACCTACAGGGATGGTGCAGAGAGGACGGAGCCAGGCTCTTCCAGTGGTGCCCAGGGACGGGACCAGGGGCCATGGGCGCACACTGGACCCGGGAGGGTCCCTCTGAACACCAGGACACACTCCTCAGGGCGAGGGTACCTGAGCTCTGGCACAGGGAGGTTGTGGAGTCTCCCACCTTGGACATACTCGGAAGCCGCCTGGACACGGTCCTGGGCCCCCGGCTCTGGGTGGTCCCCAAGGTCCCTTCCAACCTCAACCGTTCTGTGAGTCAGTAATGAGCTGGTGTTAGAAGCAGACCCTCCAAACCATCTCTCCTTCCTCAGGCAGACCTGTCCATGATAAAAGATGTCTCCCCAACTCTGAGTGGACAACTTCTTGTGTCTGATGGCCAGAAGGGTGGCTTGGATTCATACGAGACCTCCTGAGCAGCATCTCAGGATTCCACTGGAAAAGCGCACTGAACCAGAGCAAACCCTGTCATTCTTTTCCCTCTCCCTCTTGGTCCATGTAACCAGCTGCTTCACCACCCAGCCCAGCTGCCCGCAGGTTCTCCCAGAAACTTCAGACCCCTGTTTGAGTGCCCAGCCCTTTCCTCAGCAGAGGTGCTGGCTGCCGATGAAAAGTGCCGAGCGCAAGGATCACCAAGGTCGGGACTCACTTGAAAATGCAGCAGTTCAGCAACCCCTTTTGAGGGATTTGGATTAATTCGGTTTTCCAGAGGCAGCGACCGTGCTTACATGTAATGTGTGTGAATAATCCGGTCCATAAGCTAGAAGTTATTCTAACTTTTCTTCACTAGCCGACGTAGGGGAAGGTCAAGGTTTCGCTAAAGGCTTTTTGATGCAGGTGTAACTCCATCTCTTCCCAGGGAAGCCTGTCGATGCTTTAGGAACAGACAGGGATGTGGATTTTTTTTCTGAAGGTCTTTAAAAAAAAAAAAGCAAATAAATTCTTCAGACAGGTAGCGAGGATGCTGAGCCCAGTCACCCTTTCAGCAGCCACCCGCCCTGAGATCAGAGCAGGTCAGGTGTAAAACCACATCCCGATGTGCCCCGCGGTCCATCTCAGCACCGCTGTTCTCGGGGTTTCGCAGCCTGGGCTGTGGGTATCGTACCACGGCATTCAGGAAACGCGGGGCTGGAGCCAGACTGCGTCATGTGTGCTCACAGGTCGTGAATATCTTGTCTAATTTTTCTCTGTTCTTCATCCACAGCCTCGCCCACCAACAGACCTGGGTTTCAGCTTTGATGCCAATAAACAGCAAAGACAGCTGATAGCAGAGCTGGAGAACAAGAACAGGTAAAAAGCAAGCTTTGATCAGTATTGGTTTGGGAACAACATCCGAGGAGAGAAAAGGCTTCAGTCCGTGTGCTTTGCTGGTTTTATCCTTTTGTGTTGTATTAACCAGATTGTTTTCCTGGTCGGTGGAAGGCGTAGCTGCCTCGGTAACCCTTAGCTCAGCGCGGCTGCGGCTGCGGGGCCCTTATTCCCCAGGGAGCGGATTGATCATCTGCACTGATCTTCTTAAAACCATCTTAACTGCCGCTGAGCGTCAGGAGCTGCGTTGCCATCTCGTTCTGCCGTCCGCAGACCCCGCAAACTTCTCGCAGCAGGGCAAGGCGTCCGAGTGGCAGCAGGAAGATAAAGCTGCTGCGCCGTGCTGGAGCGAGCGGCTGGAAAAGCTGGTGGGTAAAGCCGGCTTGAGAAGAATGAGTGGGATTTTCCTTTTGCTGGGAGACAAAACAGTCTGAAGAAACTGGGAGTAGAAATAGGAGATGGCTGCCCCTGGCTCCCTGGCAGTGGTCAAGGCCAGGTTGGATGGGGCTTTGGGCAACCTGGGCTAGTGGAGGGTGTCCCTGCCCATGGCAGGGGTGGCACTGGATGGGCTGGGGGGTCCCTGCCCACCCAAACCATTCAATTCTTTTTCTTGCTCCAGAGGGCCTGTTAAGAAGAGATCGCCCTGGTTTTATTACAGTATTGCATTTGCATTTGCCTGCTTCTTCAGCACCCACTTTTGAGCTCGTGTTTCTCTGGCGGAGGGAAGCCAAGAGGGTGCTGCTCCAAAGACCAAGCCGTTGAGGGGCTGCAAACCCCGTGTGCTGCAGGACACAGGCAGGCCCTCGGTCGCCCAGGGAGCCTCTCCGGGTGCCCAACAACGTGCTGGCTCTGCAGCGGTGCGTGGGTCTCCCTGTGCTCCAGCTGCAGCTCAGCTGGCGTGCCTGAGCTTGCCGCCTGCCCGGCCCCTTGCCAAGGCACCTTCAGCACACCCGGTACAAATTCAGGTTCGTTTGGAGGAGAACCAGTTCCTGGAGAGCACAGGAACAGCTCCATCCTTGCAGCATGTAAGCACCGTAGCTTCAATACGCTGCCGAGAGACCTGGCAGGTATTTGAAATTATTCATGGAGATGACAGATAAGGGAGATCTCGGTCGGTGCTGGTATGAACCCTTGCAGGGAGAGCAGCTCAGCAGTTTTAAACAAGAGCAGGGGAGGGAGAATTAGAGATTATAATCTTCACTCTCAGAAGGATTTCATTTCCATCGCAAGAAGTGAGTCCTTGGCCATCGGTGCTGCGTTCCCTCACCCCCGGCTACGCAGAACGCAGCGACCTTCACTGGGCTGCTGGCTGGCCGCCTTCCCTCTGCGAGACCTCGGGACTTTGTCTCTCTTACTATGAGCTGTGATTTTCCTTATTCCTGCT